ACATTAATAAGACAGAGAGGGTTTGGTTTGTAAGTCGGGATTCTTTCTTCCATGTTTCAGACTTGTGCATAATATCTCAATTATTTTTTAAAGATAAGTACATTTCTGTAGTGAATGTTTCCTGAAACTCAGGACTTCCCAACAAGGGATGGTGAACAGCCACAGAGAAATGCGCAGGGAGATAGGCAGGCTCTACCTGGTGCTAATGGAGGGGGCCCTGGCTCTTTTGAAGGTACAGAGAGTCCATGACATTTCTCTCTTTTAGACACATTAAACCCAGGGAACTCTGTCCTGAATGGAAAACTGGGAGGGAAGAAGGGAGACTGGCCTCTGGGGACAGGAGCAGCAGAAGAGAAAAGAGAGGCATGTGCAGGGAGTTTATGCACAGAGAGACAGGCTAATAAGGAGATGGGGAAGGTGCTGCACAGGGCCCCTTTAAAAAGGAACTTAGTGGATGTGCACAGGTGGTGCCTTTATTGGCTACAGCTGGGGGCATATCCTGTCAGAACCTCAAGGGCAGGCCAGTACAGATGCCTGAATACTAACAGTGGTCATGGTGTCTCTTCACAGCAGTAGAAACCTTAACAGTGCCCTAGAATTGTATAAGAAAATTATTTCAAAATCCTTAAGCATACAGAAAGCCTCTTGGGATATTTTATAAATACCACTGTCAAGGATTCTATCCGTTTATGTCTTCTAGTGATGGTTCATAAAATGATCTGTGCTAAATATTTCTTACATAATTTAGCAAATAAACTTTCTTTTTGGTCACTGGAATTATTTTCAATCCATTTTATCAGACAATGAAGACCCCAGTGCCCCATCACAGGACCAAGGCAGATGAGCTGTCTTTGTGGAGTGGGACAGCACTGCTACACAGAGAGACTTGGGGGAATAGTTCTGAAATAAACAGACTCAGCCATAATTCCTTTCTTGTACAGGTTGCAAGGAAGCTTAGGGCTAAGTGTTGTAACTATGATAGCCATGCTCCGGATGTATTTCTTTTCCCTAGTAGTTCTGCCTTTTTTGTTTTCAATCTCTGTTTAAACACTCCCATTGACTGTAGTTTAATTATGAAAACACTGCAAATCCTTCTTGGAAACTGGCATAGGATGCCATAAAATAAAATACATTTTCTATTCTAGATGATAAAAAGTAAAGTAGTTGAAATTTATGTCTTTCTGAACATCTAACAAACTATAAAACTAAGCATACTGGAAAAAATGTGTAGCCATGTTTTCTGAAGCTTGATCAGACTCTTAACAGGAGACACAGATACAGCTACACATTATATACAGAGGAGCACAGTTTCAAAAATTCATTTTGCTTTTAAAACACAACTTGGTGAGGACAAATATATAATACACACATATATACATTGCACCATTTTAAGTATTCACAGGGGAAATTTAATATTAGCATCTGGAAAGGCCAGAAAGCCTTAGATTTGTGATTTAGAAAACTTTTTCTCTGACTCTGTAGTGAAACGACAGACTTGGATCTTAAGACTTAGATGATGGGGGAGAGTAATGGTGGCTGGCCTGTCCAGGTTCTATGACTGGGACTTGTCACAGTGCCTGGAATCCCGAACTGCAGACAACCCAAACAAAGTTTGCTCACCACACTTTGTGCCCTTGGAAGATCATGGATTCATGTCTCTGTGCATGGTAGACACATTCTAGCCTCCTGAACATGTTGGTATTGTCTTAGATATTATTATTTTTAGTTTGTTGTTTTATCCAAAATTATAATTCAGTCTCCATTGATCCTGGGGGAAATCTTTCTTTTATGTACTATTACAGAGGAGGTTTAACAAATTCACCTTGAGAGTTAGGCTTTCTTTTAAGAAGATAGCTACTTTTGTGGTTAGAAATGAGTGCTCTGGTATTAACAGCTTTTGAAGTTGCTTCAAAATGAGAAGGGGTTCGTAAAGTCTTCTTAGATTACAGATGTCACATCTGGAAAAATGAGTGAGTTACAATTGCTATTTCCTTCTGGTGGGAGAGTCCATAGACATTTGTTTAACAAGGGAAGTCGCTGTGACATCAAATTAATTGTGAGTATAGGGCAAACTTCTAGGCATGTGAGTCACACAGTTCCTGTTTTCCCCCTTTGGAGAGTTGAAAACATGTGAAATATAAATTATCAGGACAATAACATACTGACTCTCTGTTTGATTCTTTTATATTTTCCAAAGTCTATGTTCTAAAACTTGGGAAAATGAAAATCCTACCGAAAGCTAGGCAAAGTTGAGAAATATAATCATTGAAAGAATTCCTAATATGGTATATTTCAATAAGACCGTGCATGAAAATCATATGTAACTGAAGTAAGTTCTAGGAGGGTTTAGAATATTTGGTCCACGTTTAATTATGAATCACTAGCTTTAATGAACATTGTTGCTACTATCTTTTATTTGGATTTTAACGAGCATGTATGCTTAAACATACCCTTTACATTTTTTGAATTTTCTTCATTTTGTGTGCATATTTGTGTCTTTGTGTGTGCATATGCACCCACAGCACCAGTGTGCAGATGGAAGTTAGAGGGGAAGGTGCAGGACTTGATTCATCCTGCCATCTGACTGGTCCTGGAATCAAACTCTGATCATTAGAATTGGCAGCAAGCATCTTCACCTGCTCAGCTAGCTTGCTGGCCCTTAAACATTATACATTTTATTTTACAAGATTTTCTTTGCGATTTAGAAAGTTATTCTGTTGTCAAACTAGAAAAACTTGGAGCATGTTGAGTGACCTGATCATTTTTGCTTGGAAATGTTCCCTTTCCTTTCCATGTCTCTTAAGGAGATAAAATCAAGATGGAAAACAATGTGTGCAGCCCCTATGTGCTTACGTGTGGGGCTGTCGGTGGGCATGAGAAAACAAGGCCTTGTCCTCAAGGAGAGATAATTCTCCCTTCCTTAGCAACCATCAACAGCTGGACTCAAGGGGTTATTAATAACAATAACAAATGGAGGATGTGAAGTTGAGAGGATGACAAGGCAGAGAGGTTACAGGAAGAGGTGGAGGGAGGTAATGGCAGATGGTTTCTTTAAACTATAGTGTTTAGATGCATGAAATTTTCGAAGGTAAGAATGAATAAAATATTATTAAAACAAAAAAGTACGTGAACTAAAAGCAGTGGTAAGTAACTTCATATGTTAACTGTCTGAAATCAAATATGTACATATTTAGGTTAGAAACTCAACTCTATGCTCACTTTGAAGTGATATGCGACTTGAGTGATGATGAGCCTGGCAGACTCTCTGTTGTTATTTGTTCGTACATATGTGAACACTCACATGCATTGCACAGGATGCTGGCATGTTTGTAGGGAGAGATCAAAAATTTTTCCAACAATCTTCAAAACCTTCAAAAAGAAAATGGGGTCCCACAAAATGGACTCCACCTGACAAGTGCCATCCTAAAACCGGTTTGGGATAACATCACTCCACACAACTCCAGACCAATGAACTGATACAGTACACCCTCTACACTCTGGCCAGAGCATCAAACAAGAGCTTCAATCAACATTAAAACTTCAATTGTCTCCCACCAACAAAGACTAAATACAAATGAGACTTTCGTTACACTAACATTTTCTTCCGACAGGATCCCATGTGTTTGTCATCCCATTTCAACAAAAAGTTTTTAAAATACTACGCTCCCTTTCCCTACTGTTAATATTATAGGATAGTTTACACCTGTTAGTGTTAGTTTTCAATAATTTTAGGGCTGGGATTGGAAGGATGTGTTCAGAATTGGGCATCTCTTTCAAATACACTTAGGATAGTGCCTTCTTAGCACAGTAGGCTCAAGTAGGTTTAGATAGATACGCTTAGGATAGGATATGGGTAGATTATAATTTGTTTATCATCTTCCATGTATGCTTTATATATGTTTGAGACATTTTGTATATTGACACATTTTAGTTTTGTCTTAAGTCTAAATCTTTTCTTTAGACCAAAAGGGAAGTTGTAGGGAGAGATTTTACATATCCGTAGCACTTACCACTCCCTTGTGGGTCTGTTCATGGGTAAACAGAGCTAGGGGGAGGAGACTCTCTCTTTGGGTTTCGGTTTCGACCTGGACAGCAGTGTGTAGACCTTTGGTTCTCAGCTTTCTTGGTTTTTCATGTAAGTGATTTCTCTTTCAATAAATATCATAAGACATCCCTAAATTTGTGTTGTTTAATATTTCTGCTTCACTTGTTGAGGAAAAAAATCTCTAGGGAAAGACTTGGCTTTCTTATAAGTTCAATGGTGGACGGTTGAAGGAAGAAAACAGCCATAGGATGCAACTTTTTTGAAGATTTTTTCAAACAAATTAGTTTTCACAGGAGGTATAAAGTTATTATAAGTGTATGTAATATCAGTAGCTAATAATACAATAAGATAGCTGTTTATAGTAAATCTAATATTTATATTTGGTTCTATTTAAATCTTAGAGCACATGTAGTTTCAGATATTAATTTTATTGTCATAGTTTATTACTTCTAATAAGTTTCTCTGGATCAACATATCTGGGTAGTATACTTTCGGGAACACTTGCTTTGCAAAATGTTTCACAAGAATATACTATTTTTCAAGTAATTTTGATGAATCCTGTATACTATAAGAGATTATATGCATTTAAAAGATGACTATAGTACTGTGATCTTTTAAAAAAATAGTTTTGTATATGTGTGATATATTATGAATTAAGTTGTGGTTTCTGGCATTTTCTTGCATTTATTATGGAAGGAGAGAGAGAATGAGATTTGGGATCTAGCCATGACTTGATCTTACTGATTTTAAAGACAATTACATGAGGATTCCTGATATTATATGACCTGTATAATATTTCACGTATTTGAAATTATCTTTATGAAAAATTAAAATACTGAACTTATGTTCATGAAGTTTTCTCCTGTACCAATTTGTTCAAGGGTATGCCCACTTTCTCTTCTAAGAGGTTCCATGTGGCTGGATTTATGTTGAGGTCTTTGATCCATTTGGACTTAAGTTTTATGCATGGGGATAGATATGCATCTATCTGCAGTCTTCTATATGTCAGCCTCCAGGTAAGACAGCACCGTTTGTTAAAGAGTCTTTCTTTTTTCCATTGTATATATTTAGCTTCTTTGTAAAAAATCAGATGTTCTTAAGGATCTGGATAAATATCAGTGTATTCAATTGAATTCCATTGGTCTACCTGTCTGTTTTTGTGCCAATACCAAGCTGTTTTGAGGACTATAGTAGAGCTTGAAGTCAGTGATGGTGATGCCTCCAGAAGTTCCTTTATTGTACATGGTTGTTTTGGCTATCCTGGGTCTTTTGTTTTTCCATATAAATTGGAATATTTTTCTTTTAAGGTCTGTGAAGAATTGTGCTGGTATTTTGATAGGAATTGCATTGAATCTGTAGATTGCTTTTGGTAAGATTGCCATTTTTACTATGTTGATCCTTCCTATCCAAGAACATGGGATATCTTTCCATTTCCTGGTATCATCTTTGATTTCTTTCTTTAAAAACTCAAAATTTTTATCATACAGTTCTTTCACCTGTTTGGTTAGAGTTACACCAAGAAATTTTATGTTGTTTGTGACTATTGTAAAGAGTGATGTTTCTCTGATTTCTTTCTAAGCCTATTTATCATCTATATATAGTAGGGATACTGATTTTTTTTGAGTTAATCATGAGCAAAAGGTTCAAGACTGTGTTGTAAAACTGGGAACCAGTATTGGACCAAACCAAGCCCTCTGAATGTGGGTGCCAGTTAGGAGGCCTGGGCAGTCTATGGGAGCTCTGACAGTGGAACCAGTATTTATCCCTAGTGCACAAATGGACTTTAGGTGCCCATTCCCAGTGGAGGGATACTCTCTCAGCTCAGATACACAGAGGAGGGCCTAGGCCCTCCCCCAAATGATGTGACAGACTTTGGTGATCCCCCATGGAAGTCCTCTCCGTCCCTAGGGAATGGATGGGGAGATGGGATGGGAGGTTGGTGGGGGACGAGGGAAGGTGAGAGGGAGACAGAACTGGGATTGATATGTAGAATAAGATTGTTTCTAAATTAAATAAATAAATTTTTAAAGAAAAATTAAAATAAAATGGCTCTCCATATCTGTGAGCTCTGCATTCATCGACTCAACTAATTGTGGACCCAAGATATATATAAGGTAGTTTCATCTCATATACTATGTACAGAGAATTTTAAAAATAATTATTCCTTAAACAATATAATACCACAACTATTTTCATAGAGTTTACATTGTATTAAGTATTATACATTATCTAGAGATTATTTAAGACATAGAAAAGATGCACATAGGCAATATGTAAACATCATTTCACTTTATATAAGAGACTATAGTATCCTCAGATTTTGATAAAGATTTGTAAAGTGTTGGAACCAATCCCACAACCCATTCTCTGAGAGATAAAACATGTGTATTTATAAAGATTGTATAACAGAAACTAGAGCTGAGAGGAGTGCTGGGGAATGTAAATTGTTTATTGCAACACACCCTAAACATACTGAATACTAGTCTATTCTTCTCAAGGAGCATCTATTAATATGTCTAGTGGGTGTTTTGGGAATGGTTATGATATACACATATATAATAGAGCTAATTAATCTTTTGCATAACTGATAGTTTAAGGCTTTTAGAATATGTAGTCTTCTCTAGATGGTGAAAATATTAAGGTAAAATATGCAAAAGTTAAAAATAATACGTCCACCTTCTGATATGTGCAAGTTATTAAAATATTACTTGGGATTTTTATGTATAATGACAATTATCATTAAGTGCAATAAGAAGAATGAATGGTAGCACACATTTTGAAGGACAAGAAGCATTTTTTTTGGTTTGAATATTAGTTATAAAATTGGTTACAAATGTTTAGTAGCTAAATGAAAAGTTCTCTTTAAAAATCCCTTGCAGCCGGGCAGTGGTGGCGCATGCCATTAATCCCAGCACTCGGGAGGCAGAGGCAGGCGGATCTTTGTGAGTTTGAGGCCAGGCTGGACCTACAGCCTCCAAAACAATACAGAGAAACCCTGTCTTGTAAAACCAAAAAAAAATCCTTTTCTACTGGGTATGGTGGTACAAGCCTTTAACCACAGCACTAAGGAGGCAGAAGCATGCAGATCTCTATGATTTCCAGAATAGCTAGAGCCACACAGAGAGACTCTGTCTCAAAACATCAAGAATAAATAAATAAATATTCCTTGAATGCTTTTATAAAGCTTAATAATTTTATTTTCATAATTTTACCTTATATTCCCATAAATTATAGGCATCTGCTAAAATGCCAATTGCATTCCCATCAATCATTTCTCACTGTAGGGAAACTAAATTAGGCAGCATTTTTTATTACTCAAAGTAAATTCTGTAGTTCCTAAATAAGATTTATGTTTCACATAAAATTGATTATAACTTTGCATGTCTGAGAAACTGCATTCTAGAATCTAAATAAATGAAACATGCTAGTTACTTTAAAAAATAAATTATGCATCTATTTTAACTCTGCATGGAGGCAGAAGTGGCTTGTGTTAGCACGTGTAGCTCTCATTTATTTCTATCTTCTCAGAGACCAGCAAGCTTTCCACTGTTGACTTTTATGAAAATTCAAACAAGAATATTTGCATTTATTACAATATACTGCCAAACCTTGCATTAATTTCCATTGATGCCCATTAATTTGATAAATGTTTTGTCATTTGTACCATTTGCACTGTCAAAACAAGTTAATTATATCTTACTGACATCTTTGACAATTGCTTTAACTATGGAAAAAAAGTGTGTCTCATTTGCTTCAATAAAAATTTCTTCTTGCCCATTAAGAGCTTGAACTAAGAAAGAAGTTCAGGGAATGTTCAGGTTAAGACAAGTGCTCAAGACACTCATATGAAGGTTCTCATTTTACTATTAGAAAATTTTGCATACCTGCATAATCTGTTCTTGCATAATGCCCATCTTCAGATTTAGTGGTTGTCGTTGTGTTATCTGTTTAAAAAAGTAACAATAAAAACCAGTTAACTATTTCCTACGAAGCTATCAAATTTACTCCTTCAACAGTATTTTCATTTCCTTATTGCAGGTAAGGTTTGCTGTTTTCTCCAACAACAATGACAGCAAAATTGAGGGATTACAGTTTTGAGCACTTAGAGAGAGGCTACTTTCAATGCACATGCGTTTGTGTGAATAGCAGAATGGTGTAGGCTTTCCAAGGGTTGGGACAAGAAGGTTCAGAACTGTAACTGAGATACATTCAATAAAAGAGAAACAAGTACAAGCTCCCTAAGCCATTTATTCCAAACAACAAACAAGAATATCCTAGTATGTTCAGCTTTTAAGGAGGCACTTAATATATTTCTATTGAATCAGTACATAAAGAGTGATTTGTTTTTTTTTTTTTTGTTTTGTTTTGTTTTTTTTTTTTTGGTTTTTACGAGACAGGGTTTCTCTGTATTGTTTTGGAGGCTATCAGTCCAGCCCGGCCTCGAACTCACAGAGATTCGCCTGCCTCTGCCTTCCGAGTGCTGGGATTAAAGGCGTGCGCCACCACCGCCTGGCATGTGATTTGCTTTTAATCCCAATATTTCTAATCAATTCTTAAATTAGTGCCCAGACTTTCTCTTCAGCTTTTGCCAGGAGAATGACTACTATCTTCTGAATCCTGACTCCTGTGTTCATGGCACTGTGACAATGCAGTCCCATTATACTGAAAAAGACATGCACTGTTGCTGATGAGCTCTCAAACATCCATAATCAACACAAATTCTACAGCTGACTCCATGATCCATTGTGGATCAGAACTGTCTTTTGAAAATGAGATAGCTGCCTAATAAGGAGCTATCTTCACTTTTCATTTCTGCACAGAGACTAAAAACATTCTTTGAGATAAAATTTTGCTATGAACATTACCTTGACATCGACCCAGAGACATGACTTCAATTTTCTCCTGTTTCTGACATGACGCTTCTTTGATTTGACACGCATTATCATAAGATTTCCCATCGGAAGCGCAGAGGGGGTTGAAGTTGGTTTGAGAACAGTCAATGTTGCACACACACCTAAAGGAAGAAAGGAATAAAATGTGGGATGTCAATAGTGATTTTATCACAGCATAAGTAAAATACAAATGGGAGATGTGCTAGCTGGGCAAAATGCAACAGAATCGAACTGAACTCTTCCAGAGAAGTTCTGCCAGTTTTCTGAGATGAAAATGCAACACAGAACTAATAGTTAATAATCCAGAGGACCCACCGGTGAATAAAAAATAAATGTGTATAAGTCTCACAAGGCTGTTTGAAGAATTCAAATGGGCCACTGTAGAAGAACTGCTTTGGGAGTGACTGAAACACACTCTTGTACTTCCCTCATTGAATGGGTAAATGGTCAGAGCTTGAGATAAAATGTGGCAGAGGCCAGTAAAACAGAAAGCAGTCAAATACATTATTTGGAATGCCATCAGGAGACATATTTTTCCAGCACTACAGGAGACTATGAAACATGATGAATGAGATCTTCAGTAGTCCTTAACCCTTTGGAGTGACACAAAAACTCTTTGAGAACAAAGATGTAGATAATTTCTCACACCCTATAAATAATATTTACATAAAATTGCATGGGGTTCTCAGGTTTCTTTCAGTGCATCCCAAGATTCCTTCCCAAGGTATACAGTTTCTATTTTTGGCCCTTATTTTACATAACAAAGTGACATTCAAATTGGTGACTTTGGAGGCTGTCTGGAATTAGCTCTTGCAGACGAGGCTGGTCTTTCTCGAACTCACAGAGATCCACCTGCCTCTACCTCCCGAGTGCTGGGATTAAAGGCATCCATTCAGCAAAACATCCATACTCATAATATTTCTATTTGTATTCTTTATTCTATATGTTCTTCTTGAAGATGTGAATCACAATTTTACTTCTGAATACATTGCACGTGTACACACATACATGATAATAGTAACTATTCAGGAGGACATGAGAGAGCAGGAAGATCGAGTCAGAGGAAGAATAGAGGAGAGCAAGAAAAGAGATATCATAATAGAGGGAGCCATTATAGGTTTAAAGGGAAATCTGGCACTAGGAAAATTTCCAGAGATCTACAAGGTTGACTCCAAGTAATAATCTAAGCAATAGTCCATAGGCTATCTTTAATGCCCTTCTCTGATAATGAGATTGATGACTACCTTATGTGCCATCCTAGAGCCTTCATCCAGTAGCTGATGGAAGCAGAAGCAGACACCCACAGTTAAACACTAAGCCGAACTCCTGGAATCCAGTTGCAGAGAGGGAGGAGTATTGAGTAAAGGGGTCAAGACCAGGCTGGAGAAACCCACAGAAGCAGCTTATCTGAACAAGCGGGAAGCTCATGGCTGGGAAACCAGCATGGAACTGATTCAGACCCCCTGAACATGGGTGTCAGTTTGGAGGTCTGGTTAATCTATGGGGCCTTTGGTAGTGGATCAATATTTATCCCTAGTACAGGAATGGACTTTGGGATCCCACTCCATATAGAGGGATATTCTTTCAGCCTAGACACATGGGGGAGGGTCTACACCCTGTTCCAAATGGTATGACAGACTTTGAAGATCCTCCATGGAAGGCATCACCTTCCCTGGGGAACAGAAAGGGAATTGGATAGGGGTTGATGGGGGGGGCAGGGTAGGAGGAGAGGGAGAAGGAACTGGAATTGACATGTAACGCAAACTTGTTTCTAATTTAAATTTAAAAAAGGAAAAACGAAAAAATAGTAACTATTCATTGCATGCTGGTCGTTAACATTCATTGCTTCATCTAAATTTTGTAGTAGACATTACACAAGCCAAGATATTAGATAATATATAAAATCAGAAAGCTAGTAAAGGATAGGACACACACAGATGTGAAGTGCTGAGACCCAACCCTTCTCCTTTAACACTGTATCCTTCAAATTAGGACTGCCCATGGAACTTTCAAAATATATTAATAAGCACATTCCTGGCTCTGTGGAAGCTGAGGTAGTGCCTAGAATCCTAGAAATCTGTATTCTTAAGTAGTAACCCTGGCACCCGGCTGATTCATGGCCCGAGAATGCTGACTGATCAATGCAATCCAGAGAGGGCATGTCTACACCTCAGCCAATTTCAGAATGCAGTCTATAGACCATCTATGTCAGAATTACCTAGACTACTGCTAAAAATATGGGCAGGAAATGTAATAATGTGCTTAAAACATATTTTCCTATGTGGAAGAATTTTCCCAGTAGCACTTGATTAGTTTTTTTTTTTATTTTAATTTTAAATAGCTTGCTTCACAAGTCAATCCCAGTTCCCTCTCTCTCCCCTCCTCCCGCACCCTCCCACCATCCCCCGCAGCCTCCCACCCTATTGCCACTTCCTTCCACATAGAGGATATCTAGAGTCTGTCATTTCACTCAGGACAGGGTCTAGGTACTCCCCTAAGAGTCCAGGCTGAGAGAGCATCCCTCTTTGTGTTATGGACACAAGAAGTCCATTTGTATTCCAGGGATAAACACTGATCCACTGCCCAGGGCCCCATAGCTTGCCCAGGCCTCCTCACTGACTCTCACATTCAGGGGGTCTGGATCAGTCCCATGCTGGCCTCCCAGCTGTCAGTCTAGGCTCCAAGAGCTCCCCCCTTGTTCAGATCAGCTGTCTCTGCTGGTTTTGCCAGCCCATTCTTTGCCAATTTGCTCATTGCTCCTCTTTCTCTGTCACTGGGTCCCATGGGTTCAGTTCAGTGTTTAAATGTGGGTGTTTGCCTCTGCTTCCATCAGTCACTGGATGAAGGTTCTAGGATGGTTATAGACATCAATTTCATCATCAGGAATGGACATTTAATATAGTTATCTATTTCAAAAATACAAGTGAGAATAGGTGGCAAATGTCTAGATCCTGAATCTCCAAGGGAGACATTTCTTCCTCAGCTGTGGTGGAAAGGACCCCAGCATTGCTTCCTCTTGGGATCTGAACATCTGAGGTCAGGTGCTTCCTGAGCTCACACAGGTGTATGCCTTTCAGGATGGCCCTGAAGAAAAAGCTCTGTAGATTAGGTCTATCTTAGCCAACAGGCTTCAAAAACTGGAGCGGTGAAGCCAACTTGCCTCTTTATGTAAGACAGTCCCTAGTACTTTTAATGCGGCTTAGTTTTAACTATTGGTCAAGATGTCCCAGAGTCTTATGAAGATCTTACATAAACAGTGGATGGAAAGGTACATGGCTCTGTCTGTTTACCAAAACAGCAACTGAGGTATCCAGAGCTTTTCACGCCCACAAAGTAAATACACAGACATTCAGCAGCGTACACATCTCTGATTGGAATATAGTAATTAAAATTTCTGAAAGCCTTACTGAATATTATATAATAGCTTACAGAAGAATGAAGTGAGATCTGCAAAGAGAAGAGGCAATTCCCTCGAGGTGAATTGACTAGGATCAGTGCTTCCATTGAACCACAGCACCTTACTGACAATTGTCCCACTCATTTATAGGATCCCCTTTCCCAAGTCAGTCCCCACCTACACCCTATTTGACTCATTTGACTTTGGCCCACTCTGCCATTGTTTAGCTACAGCTTCCCTGAAGGTTTGCTTACTTATTACCTCAAATAAAGCATTTTAGGGAATGGCTGTGAAAAAGTACATACACCATCATTTCATTCTCACCTCAAAAGGAGGTGAGATTTCTTTTCATGAAAGTGAGATGGAGCTTTCACCAAAGCTCGGGGATATGAGCCTCATGATAGCATGCAGCATGTTGATCTTTCCCTTGTACATTACTACTCTTTCCTTTCTACACTCTGAACCATCAAATATCAACACGCAAACAAATGCTTTTAAAGTCCTATTTTCTTAATCTCAGGATTAACCAAAACTGGAAATCTATGAAGAATTATCCACCCTCTGTGCCTCCCTCCATCCCTCTGCCCTTCCCTCCATCACTCCCTCCTTCTATCCCTCTATTTCTCTCTCCCTCCCTATCTCCTTCCCTTTCTCCCTCCCTTTCTCCCTTTATTTCTTTCACTACCTTTCTCTTTGAGACAGGGTCTCGGGGAGTCTAGGCTGGCTTTAATCTCACTGTATAACTACGATCTTAAATTCCTGATTTTCCTGTCTACTTTTCAAGTGTGAAATTACAGGCTTGTACCACCATTTTATGTGGTGTTGATGACGGAATCAAGGGCTTGGTACATAGGAGGTAAGAACTTTACCAAATGAGCTGCTTTCCCAGTCATTTATCATTTATTTAGTGGGAGATGCCACAAAGACATGCTAAAGTTCCTTGAAAATGATGTAGCATGAGGAGAGAGAAAACTGTGAGTGCATCATGAGGATCCACTCATCTATGTGTCCACTAGATCAATGTACTCTGATTTTGCAATCATTACTCACTGTATTTGCATATTTAAATCTGTTAGCTTTATAAATTACAACCATAGGTAGGGTTCTATGATGTTATTCTCAGTTTCTATCGTGGTCTCCTTCAGTAATGACTGAATTATCCTTATTTTCCTGAGTATTTTAGGTATACTCAGCTTTCAATAGCTACATATTGATAAACAAATGAAATGAATGCAGTAACTGTTTTATGTTCTCAAGTAAAGGTAGCCACTATTACTATCTCTATCTAATAGGTAAGAAAATTGAGTCTTGAGGAAGCCACATAGATTATAAGCAAAAGAACATGATTTTCCATCTAGGCAGCCTGACGCCAGAGGCTGCACCATTCTGCAAATTGAAGTTCAAGGAAAACTAAGACAGATGTACATTCATGTCATTACTGATAGTCAACATACTTTGGATGAGTTGTATCTAAAAACAATGCTGTGTCCACTCCTGTGCTACTTATTACTTTTAATCTTTGTCTTACCAAACAAAATCCAAACTCTCTGGAATATTGGCACATTATTGAATGACATTGGAACATTGAGAACCAATGACAGGTATCAGAATAAATCACTAATCTTAGGGGCATACTACTTAAAGTGTCAGTTATTGAGAATATTATATATTTAAAATGCCATGAATAAATTTGACTAAATCTAAACATAGACATTTAAATATTCA